TACGAAAAAACTAAGGATGACCTTGCAAACCCTCATCAGCTGCATTTTGGAGATGTGAACAAAAATTAAGACTTCATTCTACCTCAAACTAACATAACTTCAAATCTCAGTCCTTTGTGTAGCTATCAGGAAAAGCTTTTATTAACTGTAATGAGTTTCAGATCAAACATCTGAAGACTTTTAGGAGATATATTTGCTGAGTTTGATTGTAGATAAATGATAATTAATCAGGAGTATTTCCTACACTTGCACCAGAGTACTTTTCCCCTTTTCCAACCTTTGTGGATGACAAATAATCCACAGACCATCCTCACCTTTCCAGAGTATCGTGCATTTCTTCACGAAATATAAAATCAGTAATCAATCAATAAGACCAGTGATGATAAGTACTAACAGACTACAGCTCTGCTCATTTGTGCACTCTCTAGCAGATGATCTTTCTAGAACTAATTTGAAAATTCTGTTTCTATTGAATAAATGATGCAATGAGTCTGCATCTTTAGAAGATTTAAACTAGAATTTCAGGGTCTATGTAATAAAAGACCCGACTCTTGAAGACACTACTCATAAATAAATAAATGAAAAAACAGCTCTTTTACTTTGAAGACTTTACATCAGGCTCTAGAGAGAAACCAGGCAGCTTTCCAAAAGAATTTTTACAGTCAGCACACTGAAAGCAGTCTATCAAGCAACAAATGGGGGAAAAGCAAATTCAGCTGAATTAAAAGTGCTCCAGAAAAAAAAGGAAGAGAAGACAACAACTACGATTAAGAAAAAAGAATGTGTATATTGTCACATTGTTCTACCGCTAAAAAGTGATCACGCACAAGGAATTAGTCAAAACAATTAAAAAAAAAAAAAAAGGAAATCCCACTGTAAATAAATGTTATAAGCTACATGCACCTGGGCTACTGGGAGAGCAGTCAATAAGAACAGTTAATATATACGAGAGGTACATGCATTGTCACATTAGCAGTTTTACAAATTAAGACATTGTTGGAGACTACACAAGAGAAGGGAATGGCAGGGAATAGTTTTACCAAAAGACTAGGGGAAAACTGATTTACCTGAGATCAGTGAAAGCTTTAAGAGGAACATGGAAGGTATGGAGGTGCCCTGTGAAATGACACTATTCTGGAGTCCCCAAGGAGCTTTTTTAGAGGGCAATTCACTTCTGAAATATATACTTTCTTTGATAAATCACACTTCACTTAGATGAAGTTTCTCAAGAATTGTTCTCCTGATGAGAAAAGGTTACAGGCTTCACATCACAAGTAGAAGAAACCGCAGACTTTATACAACTCCAGATTTTCACTTTTTCTTTTTATAAAGGGAGACTGCCTTTGAGTATTCATTGTCCTTGTTATACACTCTTTTCTCCTTAGAATCAGTGCTGTCACACATAATCACACAGAAATTAAGGCTAGCAATGAAACAATAAAGGAAATCAAATGCAGAATCTGGTTTCCAGCAGGGCAGTTTCTATTCAGAAAACAGGCAGATTTTTAGCTTATTTGACTAAAAGCAACTCAGAAATGTCCTAAAAAGCTCTATACACTTCCACGCACTCTATTTCTGCCATCTCTGTAACCAAGATAGGAAAATATGTTAGCAATCAGCACTGCTTTCCTTTAGCCTGTCAGCTGTGTTTTCTCTCTCATAAAAACCAAGGAATTATGTACACAGGGGTCTAATCCTGCTCTGGGATGCTATAGGGCAGACCTGGCCAAAGAGAAGAGCCCTGCCTCTGGAGGTACACAGATTCAGTGATCTAACAAGATGTTTCACATTCAGGTTTTGTGGCTGAGTTCATGCTAGACATAACTCTATGTGCAAATGCTCCCCATTCCTCATGAAATAATTGGTGAACATTCACGGGACTTCTGTGGAAGGAAGAACAGTCTCACACCACAACCACTACTCATAAAAGGAATGGGAGAATTCATCCTGCTGATCTTTGAGTACCTTGCCACTCTTACCTGGTTTCCCTTTCTTTTCAGCTGTTGGTCTTCATTTAATTTATTGCTTCCAATTCAGTTCATAGGTTAAATTTTATTTTCTGATGCTCTCAATCTTTTTAAAAGGATGTGTGAGGTGTTAAAGAAGCATCCATACATTTAATTAATACAACTGCTACACACAAAAATGTATGAAATATCTAAAGCACTCAGCTTTCACCTTTAGGTTTATTTGATTGACATCACTAAAAATCGTACTGGTTTCTGTGAGTTTGGGGCAATGCCAAGTCCTCTTGGATGTCCTGTTTTCCTAAAATTTAAATTATATTGTAAATATGATCATCTTTATCTTTCACAGAGAAGAGATGCTAGTATTTATCACCTTCTTATGGATTACATGGGAGCATTTTTTTTTTTAAAGCACAGCACTGCCTCTGCAAGAAATCTGCGTTAGTAGAGAGAGGCACTTTTCTTATTTACATCTATAAATTGTAAAAAGTAAAATCAAAATCAAACACTTGGCCACTTGTAACCCCATGGTCTTAACCACCTATGGGCTTCTGTGACATTGCAAACTCAGTATCCCAAAACTCTGTAAGAGAAAAGCGGTCCTATGGTTGCTAATCTGCTTCTGTGTTGTTTCTGTTATTGTGGCAATGCAAACAGGAAAAAAACTATGTTCTGATCTTTAAATAACAGGAACAATAGAAATGTACAGTTATTCAATATCATCCAGAATTCATTAACCTAAAGTATTCTTTTCTGATGCTGTTCTTTAATCAGTCACCTCTTGTAGGAGCAGCTGGACAGACAACACCAGCCACCCAGATGATAAAAGAAGAAGAAAATACTAAAGCAAAAATATTGTGGTCTTGAGCAAGCCAGAGCTAACATTAGCGTGTGTGTGAAAAGAATCACAAGGTCAAGCTGGAAAGCTGCTTGAAGCATGGTTGTTCTTTGTGGCTGGAAGCAGTCACATGGGTGTGTGGTATGTGGAGAGATAAGGAAACTATTGCCTGGCTGGAGAGCTCGGACCTGGGGTCTGTAGAGTCTGTATATAGAAATAGAGTAATACAGTTACAAGAGAGTTCTTCCTGGACAAAGTCTGTCTCCCATGGATTCATTTGCTGCAAACAGTGCAGAGTGAGAACCTTTTTTGTGCAATCTCCAACTAAAAAAATAAACCTGTAAAAAAGTCTTTTTTTTTTTCATCCAAAATTTCCTAACCTCATGTTAAGTCTAATCTGTTGATGCCCATTAGGATGGAAGCAATGGAATACCATTCACAGCTGTTACTAGAAGGGCTGGGAAACATCAAATAAGACACAATAGTCACATTTATTTGAGGCATTTTTCCAAGAAAAATAAAGCTCCCACTACTAGAGAAAAAATACCTGACAATAAAAAGTCAAAGGACTGAACTACATCTAACAGAGAAAAATAATGTTTGTTAATGCCTACTAGAATAGATATCCATGTTCCACAGAAATGAAAACTGAAGGAATCAGAGAATAAATTCTTGTTTGGTGGGTCCCCAAATGGGAGCAGACAGAGGACCAAACTGCCTGTATATCATACAGTCCATTTTTTGTTATTTGTAAAAGGGAAACATACTGGAGCCAAAAGCTTTTTTCAAAATGTTTAAAGCAATAAAGTTAATGGTATTAGATCTCCTTGAAGAGATCAGATTCTTATAGACACATTATTTTGTTACAGGGAACAGAAAAGAATCCCTTGTGGTCCTTTTTTATGTATTTGCCTCCAAGGGCAAAAGGAAAATCTGCTATACTGTGTGAGAATTTAACTGCCAGAATCCCCCCAGAATGTTTCAAAGCACGCTTTTACCTTCACATCAGCCTCTACTACACAGTTACAGAACTTTTCCATAAAATATGGTATCTGTGGCTTTATGAATTCAACAGGCAAAAAAAAAATTCAGCCCACGTGTTTCTGCCTCATCCTGTATGATCAGGCGTAATTGAAACCCTGAATCAACTACCAAACTGGTTGATTCCTCATCTGAATGTCTACATTCCCTTCCCCATCACCCACCACAAAGCATCAGCCTCTACCCTTTCATATCCAGAAGCACACGCAAGTGCTTACACATCTGAGTTCTTTCCAGAAATCTCCCACATCAGCCTTTTACTGTGAACCTTACTGCAGTGACTACATATTGCTTAAATCTACAGCAGCCCAGAAAGGAGGGGGCAAAAGAAGGTGCCTACATAGTCCATGGACACACAAGAGTGTGCTTTCTGGGCCACACCTTGAACTATGACCAGGTGTTTTCTAGGAGAATACCAGCTGGCCAGGACAAAACTGTGACAACAATGTGCAAGAAATTAAACAGTCTGGAAAACTATGTGATAGTCTTTGGGTCTGCACCATGATCCTGTTTAGTTAGTAAGCATAAACATAGTTGTGGTGCTGAAAGAATACACAGTGCTGAAAGCAAGGTTCCTGAAGGCCCTTCTTGATAACCATCTTTCCCAGATATCTTTCAAGAGTCACCAGCTTGTGGGGGTTGATACGAATTAGCTGAACTGGTGCCAGGCACCACTGTCATCTTTCCTGAGTTTGTTGGTTATGCAGTGTACAGTCATCAA